ATCACTACGTACAAGCAGCAATTCTGAACAATGTCAGCAATAAAACACTTCTCCAAAAAAATATCTTATGGGTCCAAGTTTTAAACAATTGCTGTGGTTACTTTGAGTTTTAAGAACATTTACTTAAGCTTCAAGTTGGACATTTTTATTACTTACCCTTTCACAAACACTGTATTTTTCATGGCGTTTAACTCAAAGAACTCCCAGTTGCACAACTGCCCTCAGACACAAGCAGACTCAGTAGCTATTCCCATTCATTTACTGAGTAAGTTTGCATCGGTCTGGAATCACTCCAGATTACTTCGGGTGTCCTTCATGTCTCCAGCCCCTACAGGCCTATTTAAATAGTACATTTGAGATAAACAATGACTGCATACTGACAGTGTCTTAGCTCTGGCTGCCATAACAAAATACCAGGGGTGGCCTGAGAAGCTGAAATTTATTTTCTCACAGTTCTGGAGGCTGGAAATCTGAGGTCATGGTCCATTTATAGTAAGGGCTTTCTTCCTGGCTTACAGATGACAGCCTCTCACTGTGTCCTCACATGTCAGAGATAGACAATGGACTAACTTTGGCCTCCCTTCTTATAAGGGCCCTAATCCCATCATGAGGGCCCCACCCAGGGGTCCAATATGCTGTATACTACTGCATAGAATAATTCCAAGGGGTCTAGAAATCTGTATAAACACCAATTACCTGGAAGCTGAATAAATAATGGAATGCATATTATATGTAACCACACAATATGTGTGCTTATACAGATGGATACGGAGCTTCTAAAGAACACTGCCATATGTTTATCTGACCTCTGCTTACTCTTTTCTAGAGGTAGGGACAAGTACAAATTATTTAGAGTACTTTAAAGGTTTTGCACAATATCATTCAACCTCCTTCCCCCACCTAATTTCCTGCCGTTCTCCTCCCAGAAACCTGATCACATGGGGGCATGTATACCCTCATTAGCTTTCTCCTAAACTAGCGACTCAGTGCTCCTATTTCTGATTTGTTCTTCCCCAACTTCTTTACACCCGCTTTTTCATCAAGATCTAACCCAAATGACCCTCTTAGGAAAGTCTCTCTTGAGATAACATGATCTATCACGTCCTGCGTGACAAGGGCTGGGGCTAGAGGAGAGGCGGCGAAGGGTTAAGAAATCACAAGAGTCAAAAGTAGAGTTTCTGCGGGCCAGGGGTCTAGTCTCTGCAGACGGAGAGAGCTAGCCCTGATACTGGCAGGCGAATAGCTTTTATTTACAACTGTCACAAAGAAGTCAATTTGAATATCTATAACCAGTTAATTGATTCGATTAGACCGGCAGCTGTTTCACTGAAACTCATTGTGATCAAGCATGAGTTGTGCTTTGGAGTTGGGCTTTCACACAAGTATGATCCCCGGGATGGCCTCAGCATTCCGAGACCACCAGATAAGGAAGTTTTACCGAGATCATTCCCTCAGGTCTCAGCATTCCAAGACACTTACTTATGACTTCAAAGGATCAGTACGCAGGCGCATTCGAGCCGGCAGCTGCAAGGTGACAATGATCTACTTAGTTGCTCCCTTAGTTATGCTTAAGAGCGTTTATTTCTATCTGCATTTCAGTATCGCTTATGTAATTGTGTGAATTGGTTAAACAATAAACTCTGAACAAGAGAATCTTACTTTTACTCAGGAAAAATGAGTGTATTTCTCCATAATAGGGAAACAATCTTTGTCTTGGACCCTGAATCTGTTAGTGTCTACAGTAGACACACTCCAGGGTGGCCTTATGATTCCTGTCTCCTTAGTATGCATGGCTTTGCATAATTCCCTCCCCTTGAGTTCAGGGCAAATCTGTGACTTGCTTATAACAACAGAATATGGCAATGGTGCTATCACTCACATGATTATGTTGCATTAAATGGCAAAGGACTGGATTTTGCTAATGTAGTTAAGGTCCCTCATCCCTAATTAGTTGACTTTGAGTTCATTAAAAGCAGTATTATCCTGAGTAGGCCTGACCTAATCAGGTGAGTCCTTTAAAAGAGGGTCTGGAGGTCACAGACTCAAAGCAGGCAGTGACTCTCTCTGGTGCTGGCTGTAAGAATCAAGCTACCATGAATTCTACAGCCTCAAGAAAATGAATTCCGTAAACAACTGAAGGAGCTTGGAAGCGGGTCCTTCCCTAGTCAAGCAGGAGAAAAGAACATATGGCCCTGCCAACACCTTGATTTCAGCCACGTGAGACATGGAGCAGAGGACCTAGCTAAGCTGTGTCTGGATTTCGACCTAGAGAAAATGTGATAATAAATGGAAGCGTTTTAAGCTGCTAATTGTATGGCAATTTGTTGCAAAGCAATAGAAAACTAATACAGTGGTTTTTTTGCACATAAAGGAATCGCTGACTCGAACTGGCTTAATGAGCAAGGAAATTTATTTTCTCATTTCACAGGAAATCCAGAAGTAATTCAGGCTTCAAATTGGTTTGTGCCGAGTTCAATTCTGTCATCAAAGATCCAGACTCTTAGCATCTTACCACTCTCCTATCCTAGTGAGAGTTGATCCTTGGGGTAGTTGCAACATGGCTCCAGCAGTCACAGGTGTCACATTCAGAAACATCCAGAGGATAAAAGAGTGTTAGTTCATAAGGCATTCTCATGAAGAATGAGGAAACTTTTCCCAGAAGCTCCTCTGCACTTTCCTTCACATCCCATTGTCCAGTCACATATCCATTTTAAATCAGTCACTGACCAGGAGAAAAGGATTACCTCAGATGAGTTCCAACCTAACCTGGCTGCCCCTGAGGCAAATGGGCATGGAGGCAGCTAGATACTGGAACTAAATCAGGATTCTGTTAGGAGGAAAGGGAAGAAAGCACAAACATGTCCACTACAAATCCCAATCTAAGAGTTACTCTTAGACAAAACTGTATGAAACCTCTGGCCAGTCAACACTGGCAAAATAAATTATGCTAGAGCCTCTAAATTACAAAAGGGCAAGTTGAAGGACAAAAACAAAGCAACAGTTCCTTTGTTAAATGGTTGCTTTGCTAATAGCAAGCACATTTGAAGAATATTTTAGCAAAAAGTTAATGAAGGCTTATTTAACATATTAAAACTTGCCACAAAGACGGAGATTGCTCAGCAATCAGTGATAAGAAATCTTTATTTAACATATTAAAACTTGCCACAAAGACTGAGATTGCTCAGCAATCAGTGATAAGAAATCTGAGACAATGAAGTAACAACCTGGCAGGGAGTAGAGCAAGGAGCAAGAACATTACAAGAGACATGAAAGATGAACAAAACAATTAGAACAGAAATCCACACAAGACACACTGCTTAAGCGTTCTCATCACTTCCATAGAAAGAATTAGAAATTAGTATCAAAACTTTCTCTATATATCATAGATAGTATGTGGTTATCCATAAGTACAAAGTAATTTGCATATGATTATTATTACTCTAAGGGTTTGAGTCTGAAGTTTAATAACTGCTCCTTATATGGTTTTAGATGATATATATAAAATGTCAAAGGCATAAAAAAGCAAGTTATGTGTCATTGCGCATTTAATTGCCTTAATTTAAATTTTATAATTATTAAAACTACCATGGAAAACCCTATCCAGAAACCTGCTCTCTCTTTAATAGTGGGTAAAAGATATACATAGATCTAATCATCACATTGTACCCGTAAACTTACATGTTATATTTCAATATCTCAATAATGCTGGAAATTATTTTTAATTAAAAAATAGGTAAAAGGAATCTTCTCTAAGACTCTTTAAGAAATAATATCCTGACTAGGCTATCCTTTTATTCCTCTGAGAATGCTGACTTTTCTCTTCTTAAGAATATAGGCGGGAGTGTTAAGTGGGTAAATTATGGGGCAAGGAAGGTCTAGATAGAAGTAGTGACTTCTGGCTTTTGCCTGATCCCCTTTCCAATAAAAGATTAATGGTACCCGATGACCCAGCAGCTCATCGATCTGCCATTGTCCTCATTACCCTTACGAAATGATGACTGACGCGGTTACAGATGGGAGAAATAAAACAAGATAAACCGAAGGCAGCTTCATTTTCCACAGGCAATGAGGTTCTTACCACTTTTTTGTCAAGGGTATTGCCTCTCTGATTGTGTTACTGGCCGTGGGTATCAAAGTCCACCCAATTCTCTGATCTCACCATCACCTGATACAAACGGGCTCACCACCAGTTTATGAGTTTTCTAGGATCGTTTGGAGTTTGGGGCTGAAGGGTATTTATCCTCTCATTCACAGTGGAAAGAGGAAGACAGGCACAGAAAAGACAAAAGGAAAACGAGGGCTACCTCGGGGGTCCTCCCAGCGTTCCCGGTTCCCACTACCCCTCCCCGTCCCTGCCTCGTCAGGTTGCTAGGGGCCAGCGCCTTGAGGGTTACCGGCGCCTGGCGGTTTCCCGTCCTCACACCAGAACCGGCGGCCCTGCCGAGCGCTGGCGCATGCGGAGAGGTGAGGCACACGGCGGCCGCCAGAGGGCGCGAGCGCCTGGGGTCCTCGCGCGATGGCATCGCGGGGAACAGGAAGGATCGGTGGTCGTCCCGCGAGGAGGGGTGGCAACGGGGAGAGAGGGACCCTGCCTCGCCTCCGAACTGCCGGCCTTCGCGCACGGTGCAGCCGCCCTCCCATTCCCATCCGCCCGAGGGCCCCACCCCGATCTGCGCTCGCAGGGTGACCTCCGAGCGTGAGCGCGGTCGGAGGGCGCTCTCCGCCCCGCACCCACCTCGCGGCCCCAAGCCCGCTCCTTGCTGGCGGCCTGCAGGGAGGCGGCGGCCGGATCTTCAGAGAGGAATGCCGGGCGGGCCAGACCCGATAGCATCCCGCAGGCCGCAAAGCATCCGGCCGCTGCGGAACGATGGCTAGAGGGGCTGCGGGTACGGCGGCAGGCGCCCAGGAGCTGGGGCGCCCGGGCGCTGGAAGCCCCGCCCCTCGGCCGGCTCCCTGACAACGCGGGCCGGGCCGCGCCGCCTGCTCCCCGCCCCTCCGCGCCCGGCACCAGGCGGGGCCCGGGCCAGAGCGCTGCCGCCGCTCTGCTGCAGCCGCAGCTGCTGCTCTGCTGAGCGAGGCCGGGGGCCGGGCTGAGAGGCCAGGGCGCCCTCCTTCCCACCTTCTCCCGCCGCTATGAGCCAGGGAAGTCCGGGGGACTGGCCCCCACTCGAGCCCACCTCCGGACCCTCCGCTCCCCCCAACCCCTTCGTGCATGAGTTACATCTCTCCCGCCTCCAGAAGGTTAAGGTAAGGTGTGGGAGGGGGGTGTCGGGAGGGCCCGTGGGGATAGGAGAAAGAGATCGTTTAGAGCCCTGGCAAAGGTGGGGATGGGACTCCGGAAAGGAGGTGGATGAGAGCCTTGCGGAGCGGGGGGTGCGCACGTGGGGGTGGCGGGGGTGGGGTGAGCTAGGGGTCCTGGAGAGGACGCGGCCCTGGGCGATAGGCAAGCTCCAAGGTGTGGAAGAATTGACGAGGTAATGATGAAGGACAGCAGGGGACTCGGGTAGGAGAGATGGAGGATTCTGGGGAATGCGGATTACATCCTGCGGAGGCCCACGGGCTAGGACAGAGCTGGAGGCTACGGAAAGCCGGGGGTGGGGGCAGGGGCGTGCTGAATGCTTCTGGGAGGCTCAGAATCAGAGGAAACGGGTTTCTGGGCCCGGAGCCTGCGCCCCTGTGCCCTTCCAACGCCCCTTCTTCCCACTTCCCCCCCCACCCCGCACTGCAGCACCTCCTGGTGTGTGTGGGGGGGAGCCTGAGAAGGGGGGTGGCCACAGGAAGTGCAGGGTCGCACCAACCCAGCGGAACTGATGAGTAGTGTGAGGAGTGTCCAAGGTTTCTGCAGCCATCACCTCCCCTGAGGCGGCGACCTCCTGAGGCTCGGTTTGTTTACCTGCGCTCTCCCCAGGGCCGCCCATGAAGTCACCGTGGCTCCTGGCAACCCCTACCCTGCGAAGTAGGGGCTGAGTTCTTCTCTCCCGCGTCCTCCAGTACTAGGGAAGTGCTTGGGCAGAACTAGAGACTGGCCTGCGGCCTGAAAAGTGGACCTCTGTGGGTTCCAACCTCTGTGTGTTCCAACCTTCCGCCTCCCAGGCCCAAAGTGGAAAGAACCATGCACCTGGTTTGGAGCTATTTATGGAATGGGACGTGGAGGAGAAAGAAATACCTCTAGCCTGCTCCACATCAAATACTGTGCTGGTGCTTTCACACGGGTTATCATTAAATCCTCTTAACAGCCTTTCCAAGTGCTAGATGCGTGCGCTTTATGACACTAGATTTTATAGATGGGATGGGGACCAACTGAAAGATGGGAAAATGAGGCTCTGATCCTATTAATCTTGTATCCTCTTGCCCTCGTTGGTATCATCATCCCACCTTGGATTCCAACCCCCCTCCTGTTCCCACACCACCTGGCACCTGCTCTGCAGTGGGTGGTGGTTCTGTGCTCCTGTGTCTGTCCTTGTGGGACAGGGGGATCCTCGGAGGGAGCATCTCCCGGTCCTGAAATAGCCTTCTCTCCCACCTCTGCAGTGCTGCCTCCTAGGGGCACTGCTGGCCCCCATCCGAGTGCTTCTGGCCTTTATCGTCCTCTTTCTCCTCTGGCCCTTTGCCTGGCTGCAAGTAGCTGGCCTGACTGAGGAGGAGCTTCAGGAGCCACTTACAGGATGGAGAAAGTAAGTGGGGGATCAGCCACCAGAAACCCTGCTTCTCACTTCTCTTTCCTGCTGTTCATTCTGCTCCCTCTGAGAAGAAGAGGAGGGGGGGGGTTCTGAAGCTCTCATCCCCAGCCTGGAGAGGCGAGACGAGTCCGCCAGGCTCAGACCTGGTACCCAGGACCTCAGCACTAAGTGATGTGCCCTGATATGTCCCACAGTAGCTAGAGACTTCCACCTCTTGGCCAGAGTAATAGAGGGCAAAAGAAGGATACCTGCTTTCCTGGGTGCCAAAGCCTGGGGGTGAGTGAGGGTCAGACTTGCTGCCTCCCCTGACGCCCCACCTTGCCCTGCAGGACTGTGTGCCACAACGGGGTACTGGGGCTCAGCCGCCTGCTCTTTTTCCTGCTGGGCTTCCTCCGGATTCGTGTTCGGGGCGAGCGGGCCTCTCGCCTTCAAGCCCCTGTCCTTGTTGCCGCCCCCCACTCTACTTTCTTTGACCCCATTGTTCTGCTGCCCTGCGACCTGCCCAAGGTTGTATCCCGAGCTGAGAACCTTTCTGTGCCTGTCATTGGAGGTGAGAGAGTGAAAGAGGGATCAAGGGGAGAGATGACAACTCTGGGGAAAAAACAGGAATCAGATGGACACGCTCTGGAGAGAACTGGCCTCAAGGTTGGGAAGGGGGGAAAAGTTAGAAGAGATATTGACCGATGCAGGCACATGAAATGTAAATGAACATCATTTGTGATCCTGCCTCTTAGAATCTGAAGGCTGGGGCTTCATTAAAGAGGGTGTTGAAGGGAGCTCTGGTCAGTTCCCTAAAAGGACAACATACAATAAAAGGAGGGTCCCCAGGGCAAAGAGATAACTGAGAAGCATCTCCTGTTGAGGACGGGGAGGCTGCAGGTGTTAATGCCCCCAGGTAGGAACCTTGTATCCTCTGGACCCCAGCCCTTCTTCGCTTCAACCAAGCCATCCTCGTATCCCGGCATGACCCGGCTTCTCGGCGCAGAGTGGTGGAGGAGGTCCGAAGGCGGGCTACCTCAGGAGGCAAGTGGCCCCAGGTGGGTAAGAGTCGCAGGACTCTCTTCTCACCTTTTGTGTGTTCCTGAAGAGGCTTCACTTTCCTGTCTGCTCCCCTTCAGCCTACCCTACCTCATTCTGGTCTCTTGGCTTTTTCCCCCAGGTACTATTCTTTCCTGAGGGCACCTGTTCCAACAAGAAGGCTTTGCTTAAATTCAAACCAGGTGAATAAAACGATAGCGGGTGGTCGGGCTGTAGGGAAAAGGAGCCTCAAATTTGGAGAGGGACTCTGGAATAACCCAAGAAGTGGAGTGGGCGGAGGAGTGGGAGACAGGGAATCACCCACCTAGCTGACGCGGAGATGTCGCAAAAAGTTAGAGAGGAAATTATCAATGAAACGGAGCAAGGCCAGATCTCATTTGAGCACTGGTGCAGACCCCTACACTTCACGCCCTCTAGCTACCGCCATGTACTAACCTCTGCCTGGGGGGTGGGGGTGGAAATGGGATTTAGGCGCCTTCATCGCAGGGGTCCCTGTGCAGCCCATCCTCATCCGCTACCCCAACAGTCTGGTGAGTCTTAGTCCAAGGAGGGGGGAGGGGGAACACGAATTCACCCTAATAGGTGAAAACTGTTACGTGCCATGATGGGATGTGCATGTTAGGGTGGGGCCAGGGCGGGGCCAGCCTCTGCTTAAAGAGGATTAGCCAGTTGCAGGGAAGAAAATGAATGCTTTTCTCCCTTCACCTCTGTTTTTCCCATAGGACACCACCAGCTGGGCATGGAGGGGCCCTGGAGTGTGAGTTTGGGTGTGAGGGTGTGAGGGTGGGGAGCAGGGTCCATCAGAGAATTCCTGACCCATCTTTCAATCTCCAGCCCAAGCAAATGGCCCTTCATTCTCGAACAAGAGGTCTCTAGAGAAGGAGATACCTGTTTCCCACGGTTTTGTTCTGACCTCCTGGTGTGATCTGGAGTGCTTTCAGTGATCCCACCTAATCATTCCTGCTGTGATCATAGCTCCTTTTAACTTATTTTCCTGTTTCTAAGTGATTTTCTCCCTCAGTCCTCCCTTCCTGAGACACACACCCCACCCCCAGGCTTGCCTCTTGCCCTTTCTCGGGTTACTCAAACCTCCTCTCACCTGCAGTTCTTCCTCTGCCATATCCCTGCAACATTTCTCACTTTGCCTGCCACCTTTCTGGCCCTTCCCTTTTCTCCCAACTGCACATTTACCCAGCTGACTATATGGCTAGGAGTCCATTTTTATATACTGGCGGGTAGAAATTCCCCACGCCCCTATTTGGGGTGAGAGGAGCCCATAGTGAGAGATTAGTGAGCATCTGAGGTCTCTCTTCTCTTAGACTCAAAGTCCTCTGGCTCACAGCCGCTCAGCCCTGCAGCATCGTGGATGTGGAGGTATGACCCCATGGGTGGGGGGGGAGAGTGGACATCTGCTCACCGCTGAAGCTTCGGGAAAAGAGGGTGGAAGTGGTCACCCCTAGCTTTGAGGTCCTGATGAGGAGTGTGTGTGTGTTTCAGTTCCTCCCTGTGTACCACCCCAGCCCGGAGGAGAGCAGGGACCCCACCCTCTACGCCAACAATGTCCAGAGGGTTATGGCACAGTGAGTGTTCCACAAAGCATTTCCTGGAGCAGATATGCAGAGCAAAGGGACTACAGGTGGGGGTGGAGGGCTGAGGTTTGGAGGCAAACATGGGGGAGTGGGCAGTGGGAAGGGCTATTAGACAACTGAGACTGGAAGGAGACGGGAGTTGAAGGGACCTAATGTCCACCTCCTAGTCAGCAGGTCAGTCAGTAATGAACCCTCAGAAGATTCTTCCGCCTCGCTCCCTCTCCATCCCATCCCTTTTCATCCTTGTAGGGCCCTGGGCATTCCAGCCACCGAGTGTGAGTTTGTAGGGAGCTTGCCCGTGATTGTGGTGGGTCGGCTGAAGGTAGCATTGGAGCCACAGCTCTGGGAACTGGGAAAGGTGCTTCGCAAGGCTGGGTAAGTGACCTTGAAAATGAGGGTGTGGGTAATGTCATGTATAGACAGAAGAAAAGGGAGAAATGGGAAGGACAAAGGAAAGTCTTTTGAAAAGAAGAAAAAAGTGAGAAGATAGAGGAATTTTTTAAAAGATAATGGAGTAAAATGAAGGAGGAAAAAAGAAAGCTATGTAATAACCCTGGTGATAAAAGCAGGAATGGATCTCAAGGGACTATGAGTCAAAGTATACCTTAGAAAAACACGAGAGATACCTGTGCTGGATAACCCTTAGGGCTGGGACTAAGGTCCTGCTGGGTGGTATGCCCAGAAAGAAACTGAGTCAGCTCTCTGCCTTCAACCATTTCATTGTAGGCTGTCCCCTGGCTATGTGGACACTGGGGCAGAGCCAGGCCGGAGCCGAATGATCAGCCAGGAAGAGTTTGCCAGGCAGCTGCAGCTCTCTGACCCACAGACAGTGGCTGGTGCCTTCAGCTACTTCCAGAAGGTAAAGGAGCTGGGATGCAGAGTGCAGGGCTCAGGATTTAAGGATGATATCTGAATGGCCACGTCAGTCTCATTGGATGGCCAATTTGGAGTCTGCACTGGATATTATAACAGCTATTGTCAGATTGCCATCTTCTAAGATCTACTGGGGATTCTTTTTTTTTTTTTTTAATAGAGTATCCATTGCATTGCAGAGCAATGTTTTAACTTGTGGGGAGGAACAATGGAGAAATCATCAGTCAGTGAGGTCCATAAATTTCTGAAACCACTTTAGAGATTGGCAAAGATCATATGACCTTGTGGGACACTGCGTGAGTGTTTCAGAGAAGAGCCATGAAGGTTAGGTGGGAAGGTGACATGGCGGGGACAACACTGGACAGCTTACATGGATAAGAGAGTGAGACCCAGAAGCATTTGCAATACTTAGGCAAATATTTAAAAATATCCCACAGCTTCTCTGGGGAATCCCTGAACTTTCTTAAGAATCTTGGCAAACTATATTCCTGGGACTTAACCAGGTTTTCCTGTCAAATTATAATAAGATTGTCCCAGAAGTTTCTTAATGTTTATGAACAACCACCAGTGGTTCCACAGAGCTCTTTTTGATCTAAGATGCAGACCATGGCTCTCAGCGTCCTCTGAAGGGACAGAGAATGACCAGATGTGTTGATTCCTTAGATTGGGACAGACTGTCCCTGAAAGGAGCCTCCCCACTTAGCAAAACCTGAACGCCATGGTCCCCCATAGAGTTGTCAGGGTAGACATCCTTGGGCTTTTTGCAAGAAATGATTCCAGTGGCCCCCTTTTAGTCTGCTGGACCAGTTCTCCCACATAGGATGAGTCAGGAGAGAACCAGTTTTTCCAGCCTGGGGGCTAGGAATGCCCTCGATGGTATGTCAGAAACTTACTGGTAACTTCTGCATTCCTGAGGGATTCCCTGACATTCCTAGGAGACCCTTTTATCGGAGAGCTTTGCCACCAGGTCACTTGGGGGACTAGCTTGAGCAAAACCGTGACCTGAGAGAATTATCAGGGATCCTGGAACGTTTAGGGCACACGGTTCTGAAGGAAGCAGACACAGGACACACGCACACCCGCCCACCCTCTACTGAGAAGAGAAGCCAAAATCCAGAAAAGGAGGGAGGCTGCAGGGTTGGTCCACATTGCCCTGGTTTCTCTTTCACCCTCCAGGATGCCAATGGTTTGGTGGACTTCCGAGATGTGGCCCTTGCACTGGCAGCTCTGGATGGGGGCAGGGACCTGGAGGAGCTAACTGTCCTGGCCTTTGAGGTATGAGGGCGGGGGTGAGGGTGGGTGGGGAGGAATAGTGGTTATGCCCACCCCACCCAGAAGCCTGTGTGGTGTGCTATTACCAGTAGCTTCTAGATAGTAGATGGCTTGCCATACACTCCGTTGCCACACACTGCAAAGCCCCAGTGTGTCTATGTGGAGGCATAGCTGGGAACAGGGAAAGGGCAGCAGCTCGGAAGTTAGAATTCTCCTACAGAAAGGACCCAGACCTGTGCTCTGCATTCATGGAAGCGGAGGAGCCTGTGGGGCAGTGTGGGGCGATGGCATGAAGAGAGGGCTTCACTGGTGTCTCTTTCTCTCTCAGCTCTTTGCCGAGGAGCAAGGAGAGGGGACCAGCCGCCTGCTGTACAGAGATGGCTTCAGCACCATCCTGCACCTGCTGCTGGGGTCACCCCGCCCTGCTGCTGCCACTTTGCATGCCGAGCTGTGCCAGGCGGGACCCTGCCAAGGCCTCTCCCTCTGTGAGTCACTGCCTTCTCAGCCCACGTGGGCACCGTCAGCACTGGGCTGGGAGGGGATATGACCTGGTGGCCAGTGCCAGGGGTCAGAACATCTGAGAGGTGAGGATGGGAGGAGCCGGCTGGGAAGGCAGAAAAAGTGTAAACTTAGATCTGAGGAGTGAAGCAGAGATGAGAAGGACAGGACATACCATTTCTGAGAAATGCAGGGCATCCTCTTCCTCTCCTTTTTTACTTTTCCCCGTCTCACTCTTACCTGTCCAGGTCAGTTCCAGGACTTCTCCCTCCGTGACCCGCTCCATGGGAAGCTTTTCAGCACCTACCTGCACCCCTCCCAGACACCAAATGCCTCATCCCCAGGCAGCCCCGCTGCTCTGGCCAATGGGACTGTGCACGCACCCAAGCAGAAAGGCGACTGAGTGCCTGGACCTCCCCAGCTCGCATCCGGCCCTCAGACTCAGGGCAGCGCCAGGGGCCGCCCCCGGGCCTCAAGTCCTCTCTGCTCCTGCTTGATTTTTTTGTTATTGTTGTTTTTTTAAGTTGATTTTCATTTTTTGTTTGTTTGGTTTTTTTGTAAGAAACTATTTTATATATAAATATATATCTATATCTATTTAAAAAAGAACGAAGCCCCGTCACATTGGTGGTATCCTTAGCTGGGAAGGAAAGGGATTAATGGTGGCCGGCTGCCCACTGGGCAACCCCGAAGGTTCCCGAGGTCAGTCCTCTTGGCCACAGATGGATGAATCCTCTTGACTTGCAGCTGCACAGGGTGCTTTCCTGCACAGAAATCGTACGACTCTCATATCCTTCCCTCGTGGTATCACGCCCCATATACACACATTTTAACAGGCTTCCTCATGAACCTCTGCAGCCTGTTCCCTCTTGCTCTGTTCTCATTAGAGACTGAAAAATAGCTCATTACCATTCCATATTTAACATCCTCCTGAGATTGATGCCTCCTCTCTGCAAGTCAGACCAACCACATGGGAGGGTTTTTCTGCCACGGGATGAGTTGAGGATGTTGAAATATCCCTTCTGTCCAACCTTTCTTCAAGGAAGAAGAAAACAAGGCGCTCCTAAAGAGGGGTGCTATGTCTAGACACAGTTACAGAAAGTTAGGCTTAGAAAATGAGATACCTATCCCAGAGATCTGACAGGTAAGAAAAGGAAAGCCTCTCTTAACATGTATAGACTTTTAAAGGGAGACAGGTAATGACAGGCTGTCCAGAGAAGCCCTCCCAACAGCCAAGTGCAAACCTTTGATGAAGGGAGGAATGAAGTGCTCACTGGGGACTGCTCAGTGTTGGGGCTTCCCAAAGCCTAGATGAGGCTGAAGGCTGTCAATCTGTAGAATCCAGAGCCACTCCACCTTATCTTTACAGCATCTTACCCCACCTAAATGAGCACATGGAGAGTATTTTCCAACAACAACAAAAACCTTTATTCATTTTTTTCCCCATACAACTCCTTCCAAAGGTACTTCCCCCTCACCTCCCACCCAAGGCACCACCACCAACCTAGCCTGTCTGACCTTCCTCCCCACACTCAACTTTTGCAGAAACACAAAACGGTTAAGAACAAGTTCCTGGTTGGTATGCGGCTTGGGTGAAATCTGGGGGGTGGAGGGGGGGAATGGTGACGCTTTAGGGACTGGTATGAGGGATAGGATGGTCCTGCTGTTGCCTACTTGCTACGACGTCGTCTCTTCCTTCTGCCCGTGGTGCAACTGTCACGTCGCCTTTTACGAGGCTTTGAGGGTCCAACCACTCCTTGAACCAGAGGTTTCTCCCCAGAGACCTCAAGTTGCGCTCCCAGGTAGGGCCTCTTTTCAGCAGGGACTGGACCTCCAACTAGAGCTTGCTTCCTAGACTTGGCAACAGGATATGGAGGTTGGCCGAGGCCTCTTGCCTCCACAGAGAGGGAATGAGATGCTCTCTGGACCCTCCAGCCTCCTGTGGAGGACCAGCCTGAGACAGGGTGAGGACTGAGAGGGGGATCCCTTGGTGACAGGCTCAGTTTAGAGGCCAAGAGGTAGGCAAAGTGGGAGAGTTCCTCATCTTCCTCCCCCTCCTCCTCTCCTTTGGCCCCACCTGCTGAAATGCATGTTTCACTAACAGGAGAGGCTTCTTTCAGAACTGAGGCATCCTTGGTTCCACATTGAGGGGAAGTGCTCCCCAGGCCCTGGGGAGATGTGGATTTGGGGCTCCCTTGCGCGTAAGACTCTTGATTCACTGGTAAGGGAGCAAGCTCTGTAGGTGTGGACAAATCAGTGCCTTGCTCCCTGCCCTCTCCTTGGGGGTCATAAGAATTGCAATGTGGCAGGCAGGTTTCCTCACTGGCCTCGAGCTGGAGGCCACAGGCATCTGCAACATCTAGTATGTTGCTGTGGTCTGCGGTTTCCAACAGAAAAGACAGGGAATTGCCTTCGCTCCCTGCCTCCTGGCTGGCCTCAGGGAAGGAGGAGGCATCCTGGGTCCCCAGAATAAGGACATTGCCTCGACATGCAGGCAGGTGGGTTTCTTTGGAAACCACTGTGGAGCCAGGAATACTGCTTTCCAGCGAGAGAAGGTAACCGTCAGCCCACAGATCACTGGGCTCCTGTGTAGTCTCGGGGCTCTGTTCTCTATTTTCTTTAGGCCTCAAGGCCCAGCTATGGTTTCTCTTTTCTAGGACAGCTGTGGCATCCGTGCCGCCACAGGGATCGGCACTGCTCCCCACATCCCCAAATGTGGTTTCTCCAGGACCCAGAGAAGTGTTTCTGGAGCCCAGTGCCTGGCAGTCTCCCTGGTGCTCAGGCACACATTCCCCACCATGGAAGTTGTCTATGACCTCGAAGGGCAACTCCAAGCCTATGGCATCCATCTCCCTGCTGAGCCACAGTCCTGGACTGAGAGGGGAGGCCCCGTCCCCGTCCCTGTCCCCAGCTGCTCTGGAAGGGCTCTGCTCATAACTCTGAGGACCTCTGTCATCTCCCCACGTGGCTCCTGAAGAGCCTTCCTGGGGCACTGCAAACAGCCCCTCCTCTTGAGGCACTCCACTCCCCACTATCTCTTGTTCTGTCTGCAACCCCAGGACCTGCTTTTCTAACCTCTGTTCTTGCAGAGGAGCCGGCTCTGCAAGTCCAACATCCAAACTGGGAACCATCTCAAGCTGGGGTTCTCCCTGCCAGCCAAGGGGCAGAGCCTCGGAAGTCCTGTTAGCCACCAGGGCATGCTCAGGGGAGCCAGCACCCCCCAGGTAGTCATTCTGATGTGGGGATATCTGGTTTGTAACCTTCCTAGGCCCTCTTCTCTTCGTACCTAAAGACCCTCCAGTTCCCTGTGGAGCTGCAAGCTCTAGCTGCAGGTCCCAGCTGCTGGGGGATGGTAGGGTGTTCCCGTTCCCGTGCATTCCCTTTAGGCCATCTAGGGCCCGTTTCTGCCCACTGTGCACTTTTTTTGCCCTCTTTCCTGGGGGAGCAGGCTTTCCAAGGCGAACGGGACCCCCAGCCACCCGAAGCCCAGGTAAGGGCCGAAGTCTCCCACCCCCATCTTCATCCTCGTCAGAAAAGAAGGGACTTGAGTCAGATTGAACTCCACTGCAACTTGGAGGTGCTTCAGCATTCTCTTCCTCCTCCAAGGCCAGGAGTCGCTTCTGGACCAGCTGGAAGGAGAATGGACAAATACCGTGCTGCACATGATTGTCGGAGGGGTGACTGAGTAGGTGGTGAGGAGATGGTACTTGGGCAGGGCAGAGAATGCAAGCAAGTGGCTTAAGTGACACATAACGTAGCTCTTCTTTTCCCCCTTCTTGGGCCTTATTCCCATGCTTTGAGCCCTTACACTCCCCTTTTCCTGTGTGTCCTCAGTCCTTTACCTACTTGTTACGTGTAAAGCCCAATCCTAAAGCTGTTCATCTCCAGAAATCATACCGTCCAACACAGGCATGCGAGCTTCTTGTTCTGATAATTCCCTACCCCCAAAATTTACCTGGGCAAGACTGAGTCTTTCTTCTTTCTCCAGCTCCTCAATCAAGGCCAAGGGATCCCTCTGTTCTGGGGATATTAGAGCTGTCAGAAATTGAGGGTGAATGACAGCTTCCACCTGGGGAACAGAAGGAAAAGGGATGTGAGTCTGACAGGAGATAACCTGTGAGCCAAGAAGCTCTAGAGAAGCCATGAGCCCCTGACCCCCATCTCCCAGGTTATAAACCATGACCAGCTACACACATTCACACGCATGTGTACATACACACACACACGTTTCTCAGTATGGAATAGAGCCTAGCTCCTAACTGCCTGAGGCAGAACCCTAGACTTAGGTTCCCTGGAGTTCCCACCCCAGGGTCTGCTAGAAATCAGACATCCAGACCCAGCCCACCTTGGAGACAAAGGCCTCCTGAGAACACAGCTCATCAATGTAGCTCAGGAGACCTGGATCTGGAAGCATCCCTTCCTCCTGCTGCTGCTCTTCTTCCTCTTCCTGTCTTCCATCTGGCTCCCCAGTGGCCAAGTGACTCCCCATCAGCCCGTCCATGATGTCAGCATACTCTTTCACAGCTTCTGGTGGGATCTCTTTGGGTGCCTCAGGAACTGGAGGCCTCTGGGTTTTGCGCTGCCGCCGGCGGGGGGCCCGGGCCTTGGAAGCTTTCTTCTTGGGAATATACGCTAAGGGGAGTGATGGAAAACAGAAATGGAAAGTGGCACAGAGACGAGAGCTTCTGCCTCCCAGCCCTGTGGGAGTACACTGAAATGGCTCTAGGCTGGACCAGACCACCCTGAAAAGTACCAGCCATAGGAAAAGATTGAGGAGCTGGAGGGGCTGAGAGAGTCACTATGAAGAATCTTGGAACCTGTGAAATTCCAAGAAGTCCCCTGATCCAGCCCCCATTTCTCAGACCAATGAGGTATTATGGGGTGCATTTATAATCTCAGAGAGTAGTTGGTTACTTGGCCAAAATCAATACCTAGTTTGGGACCAAGGGAACCTAGGAACCCAGCCTCCTGTGTTGTCCTGTTTGTACATCAAATGCCACTTACTGGAGGGAAAGTGACAGAAGCAAGGGTAATGCCTCCCCTACCCCGTGACTGGTTTCTGTATGCCTTCCTTTTGAGCCTTTGGCCTAAGGCTCCTGTTAGAGCTGGTAGCTTTACCTGGCTGCTGACAAACCTCAGGGGCCAGGGGCCCCGGAGGATCAAGTTTCAGAGGGGCTGCAGGAGGCAGGGCCTGGGACCCATTCATCAGCTGTGCGTTCTGAATCTGCATCTCCTCGGCCTCAAACTCCATGAACCTGCAGAAAGGGAGGAAGGCCTGGGCAGTGCTGAGGTGAGACCCATCAGAAACCCAGACACCAGGAAGGACCTGCTCACAGATGGCCAAATAACAGTTCTGGTGAAACCTCACAAGGTCACCACATAGTCTATTCTCCTACAGTTGTCACTTAGGAAAGCTTGCTAAGAAAATGAATAGTCTAGAGTTTGTAAGCTTCTCCAGGACAGAGCCATGGCTTCTACTTCTTTTTCATACCATATCTCACCCAGCATCACGGAGGGTATACAGCAACAATTAATACAGACTTGTTGAATTTGATCCAGCCTATGCCACAGCCTGGTGGGATCCCACAAGTAGGCTCCTCAAGGACCCATCTACCCCTGCCTACAACCATAAAAAAAAATGGCTGAAATCTTGAAGCAGGGCATGGGGTTGCAAGTCAAAGCAGTTCCCACCAGGAGGCACTGCTGAGATCCAGGAGTCCCGAGACTAGGACTGGGCCCTGCTTGGAAGGAACATGGGTCCAGAAGATCTGGAGGAGAACATGGAAGCTAAGCTTGGAGGAGAGGGTTCATTTTCCTCAATTATTTTGTTAACAAAGGAGATAATCCTAGAGAAGTGGGGGATATGAGCCAGGAGATCATGCTGGGCATCTAGGACCCTGGCTTCCCCTGACCAACATCTATAAGAACCAGCCCCTTCCTGGGATGACAGGGATAAACAATTTCTGTGCCACTATTTCCAGAGAAGGAGTGGTCCCAAGGTCTGCATCCATAGCCACTTGCTACCTGGTCAGTGAGATAGGAAAGAACCTGCCTAATGGGGCTTACCTCCTCATTGCTAGGTCCCTTCAGCACGGAATTTTTATACCAACCAAGCTCCAATCCCATCCTAAGAGCTTCAATATCAAGGCTGCTATATAATTCAAGATCTAGAAAAAGGAGCGCTTCCAGGTGGAGATAGGACAGAAAAACTCTAGCGCCAAAGTGATGAAAGAAGTAGCAATGATCCAGGAAACCCTATCCCAGTCTACACCCGTCTTCCTAGAACCCCTTCTAATAATCACCCATATACCCTGACTCAAGCCTCTCTTAACCTGCCCCCAACTCTCTCAGCCACACAGCCCCCACTGGGAGAATGAAAGTTTGTCAGACTCACTTTTCTGCCATCTCATAAAAGATCATCCGGTCAAAGTTGCTGGTGTGCTCCCACTCCTGCACGGCCCTTGGCAGTCCCTCTTCCAGGGTCATAGTGGGCTTCAGCCGGGCCAGGGAACGAAGCACTGGGCTAAAGCCCACATTGGGTCAGTCACATTCTACAAGTGTCCCCCATCCACCTGTCCTGATACTGTCCTAATATACACACCCTGCCCTTCAGATCCAGTGCCCCTCTCTGTCACATCCCACTTCCGATTAGGTTTTCAGACTCCCAACTTACCGTCCATTGACCATCCTGGCCTTTCTTCCCACTGACATTTACAAATCTCACACAAAATCAAACAGGTGATTCTTCTCCCCATCTTTTGAGATCAACCACCCTTAATTCTCACAGTGCTGTCCTTAACTAAACATTAGGAAGAAAGTACTCATGTTATTAAATTAATGGGTTTCATTGTAAAATAGGCTTAACCCTCCCTGCCCAAAAAGGCTTTTTGCATTTTAGAAAAGGCACTCACTAACCCAAATGAATCTCTAATTAAAGGTTGTGTGTTTTTATTTGTTGTTTTTTACGTGTTTTTTGCCTCCGGGATATCCCTCACTCACAAATATCAATACTCTTTAAGCAATTTGTGATTCATTTTTGCCTCCCTTACTTCCTAAGACCTCAAACTTTATTGTGCTAAGGATCACCTGGCGAACTTGTTGTAAATATGGATTCCAGTGCCCCAGGATCCCAGGACTGATACCAGCTTCCAAGGTGATTGTTGCAAAGGGTCTGGGCTGCACGTTGGGGGAGACCCTGCCCAGAGCCCCTAAGTGTAGAGAACAGGAGTAGGCCAAGACCAAACGCAGTGCTGTCTCAAGAGTTAGAAATTCAGCCTGCCAGCCTCCAAGAAAGAAGTCAGCTGTCTGGAGAAAGCCGGGAGTAGGTAAGATGATCTATACTTATTACTTCGGGGGGAGACTTGATTTATTCTCTCCAGAGTCAAAGTGGAAAGGGTGATTCCTTTAAGAGTTCATCCACTTACCAAAAAAAAAGAAAAAAGAAAAAAGCATCAGTAATCTTCCATTATAAAATATAATTCAAAAACGAGATTCAAGTTGCACTAGCAACAAAAAGTGATTTATAGTTTCAATGCAATTCCAAACAAAATCCTGAGAGACTTTCATGGGATTTGATTTTATATTCCTAAAATTAATATGGAAAAATCAATGATTCTACCAATAAAAAAAAATAAAGTTTTAAAGAAGAAAAAGAAGTTTAGCCACTGGAGGAAAAACGTGCATTTTTTTTTAATCCAGTAAAATGCGGTATGTGTTCTGTAGTAGTTTACACAAAATGTTGAGGGTATAGTTCAGTGAGAGAGGCAACAGGTCTGCATGGGAAGAGAAAGTTCCCCAGACGGCCAATGACTCTGTTTTATAAACACAAGAGAGCCCATGACCCTGGGCTCCTTGGCTAAGCATCCACTCACTCTTCAGCAAGAGATTTTGGCCTTTTGAGTTCTTTTCCTCTTCTAGATCACCTTTTTATAATAATATTAATAATAACAACAGCAGCAGCAGCAGGGGCCATTTAGTGAAGCATTCTCTGTGCCAGGCATCTGCTAAGCACTTCACATACATTAACTCATTTCATCTTCTCAGCAACCCCCTGAGATAGGTATAATTATCCCCTTTCTAGGTGAGAAAACTAAGGGGAAAGATATGGAATGTCAAGCCCAAGATCCCAACTCTAGAGAGTGGTGGAGCCTAGGCCCTTGACCTAATAAGCAAGCTCTCCCACTGACCCATTTCAACTTGAAGTCTCCTGAATAAAATAGGGGCAGTAGAGGGGGTGACACACAGAAGGTCCTTTGCCTGGCCCCACACCGTCCTCTCTCACAGGAATGGGTCAGGGCCCAGCACTCCTCATCCTGGCCAGTTTGGATGGTTCAACTCAATGTCATAAGTGCCAAACTGGGAAAAGTGCCAAACTGGGATAAGTGCCAAAGGTATTAAAATAGAACAAGGGGACCCTGGCACTTGGTGTCAAAGACCTAAGTTCCAATCATATGACAGGAAACCTCTCTGAGCTTCAGTGTTCTTATCTATAAATGAAGAGTACCATAAAAATGCTTGCCTGAACTTACAGGGTTGTAAGCATCATATCCTGAAGACACCTGAACGTTTGCTAAAAACTGAGAAGTCGGGGGGTGGGGCGGGCTGAGTGGCTCAGTTGGTTAAAAGCATGAGCTCTGAGCAACACGGTCGCTGGTTGGATTCTCACATGGGCCAGTGAGCTGCGCCCAAGCTGAGCTGCCAACAGGTGGTAGGATGGTTCAGCTGGTGAGAGAATGTGCTCCTAACAACAAGGTTGCCGGTTTGACTCCCGCATGGAATGGTGGGCTGCGCCCCCCGCAACTAAAATTGAACACGGCACCTTGAGCTGAGGTGGATGGTGACTGGACTTGGAGCTGAGCTAGCTGCGCCCTCCACAACTAAGATTGAAGGACTACTTGGCTGTTTCCCTTCCCCAATTCTCCAACACTGTTCCCCTTCCCCAATTCCCCAATAAAATCTTTAAAAAAATAAATGAGAAATGGGCAAAGAGGCTTATCATCATCATCATCATCATCATCATCATAGCATCTCCATCACCCCCATGACCTGCCCCTGAATAGTACTACATAGCCTAACCTCTTTTGTCCATCCCAAAGCCCTCCTTATTTAAAAGCCCTAGGATAATTAATCTCAGGTCTCCCCACTTACATAAGAAAGCAGGAAAGAGCTTCTGCATCAGGACTCTGGGATAAGTGCCTCCGGGCCAAGGCTTTGTAGCACTGCCAGCGTCGGAAGTTCTCATAAACACCCTTGGAGGTATAGGAGAGGTCACCTAGTGAGGGCTTGGATTGGGCGGCTGGCAGACCTCCTCCGGTTGCCCCATGTGACCCTGGCCAACCCTTTTCTGGGAGCACAGTGGGGGCCAGTTGGGAAGCTGGTGGTGTAGTCTGAACAGGAAAGCCTGGGAGGCCCTCCTGGCTCACCCCAACAGCCTTAGTGGGCAGAAGGGTCTTCATGTGAGAGGTTGTCACAAACTGAGGGGGAGGACCTTCGAGGCCCCCACAGGGAGCATCTGAGGCAGTCCAATTGAGGGCAGTCGGAAAAAAGATAAAGTTCTGAGTTTGAGAGGACTCAGCTGGCCCCACTTCTGTCTTGACTTTGACAATGACTTTGCCAGCTCCAGCCCCACTGTGGCCAGGGCCCCCATCCTCTGTCACCAACATTGCGCTAGGGAAAGCAGAGAGCATCAAAGAGTTGCTTGGAGAGAAAGCTGAAGGCACGAGGGGCTGTGCAGGCAGCTCCCAAGGTGGTGGTTCTGGTGAGCCAGGAGCAAGTGGCGGAAAGGGAAGTGCAGAGAAAGGAGGTAGAGCAGTGCCCGGTTTCAGGGTCGTATCTGGTCCAAGCAATGGAGATGCTGTTGAGACAAAGAAAAGAGGGAGTGCAGCAGTAGAAAAGTAGACCAGAGCTACATTATCAGAGTTCCACTTTAGTCATGGAAGAATCAGAGGTCTGATTCTCAACAGGTAAGGAAGGGTATATATGGAGGGGGAACTTGCGTAGTTTGCAAGTGATTTTGATGTTCCTTACTCCTGGCTGAAAATGATTGCACTAGAGAAGTTGCAGTGACTCTTGGACCCATGAGCTTATACTCCATAACACATTCCACACAACATACAGATACATCTGGAATGCACATTCCTACAAATTCCAAACCCATTCAAACCACCTGAACTCTGCTGCCAGCTGCTCTGTGGTCCCTGACACCACTCACAGAAGTGCTGTTCCCAGGATTAGATGTTTGGTTCTCAGAAATTTTGTTATATAATTGCCAAGAATAACTAGAGCTAAGGGCCGAGATATGGGCAAGGGGAGTGGGGCGTGTGGGAAGGAGGTTTCCAGAGCTTTAAGTAGTTTAAAATTTGGTGAGGCAGACTATCTGTGGTCCCTCTGCGTGGAGCTCCTATCAGAAACTTAGGATCCACCAAGAACAAGGCACTGACAATGAAGTCTGAAACACAGTACCTGCTAAGAAGGAGCTATGTGGACTCTAGTCAGAGACCGAGGATAAATACATAAAATGTTACTTAATTAATCAGGACATGTGTCTCCTAGGACTTTTTATAATTATAATAGATCATCTGCCTAATTTCATGCTACTCTCCTCCCCCTCTTATAAAGAATATTCCACTGGCAAACTAACAACACTCAGCTTCCGCTTCCTGACCATGATGAAAGAGACACGGACTATGAGCCAACGTGTCATCGCAACCATAGAGCAGAGGGCCAGGAGTACTCCACGAAGTTCAGATACAATGAAACAGATCTGAAGGCCTGAGCTTCACAAAAAGTAGAAAAATTGTGAGCTTCTCAGGGAAGCCCCAGCTCTCATTCTGGCTGGAGTGACTCACCTCCCCTTGCCCTGAGGGAATCAAGGAAAACTGCTCCCTGAGCTGAAAGTGACGCCACCTCTGGGGCTGGAAGGAGCCTTGAAGCTCTGAGCAGATGCACTTATAGTACCTTCCACGCTAGCTTTCAGGAGGATATTTTCTACAGACTTGGCAACAGATAACCCCCGCTGAATAGCTTCTCCACCCCCACTCCATGCCCCATCCCCCAATACTTCGAGGGTGGCCCCAGCTCAGTTCCCTCAGGGCAAAATTCTAGAGTAAGCTTCAATTACCTAAAGAAGGCCCAGGTTGGGCCGGCCGAGTGGCCTGATGGTTAAGAGCTCGCTTGGGACGCCAGAGGGCCCGGGTCAGATCCCACATATGAGGGCCAGTGACACTGCCCTCTACAGCTAAGATGCTGAACAACAGCTCGACCTGGAGCTGGGCTGCCCTGAGTCGCCAGCGACAGCATAGGCTGCAGTCCCTGTGGCAGTGGGTTGCCATGGGCTACCGTGTGTAGCCAGCAGCCAGCGTGAGCGGCCAGCAGCCGCAGTGAGCGGCCGTCCAGAAGCCGGCGACTGATCTGCCTCGCCCGGGAAGAGCACAATGATAGTGCCAACATGGGCCAGTGAAGCAACATCCTCCACAACTAGACTGAAGAACAAAANAACAGCAACTTGTCTGTTCCCCTTCCCCCAATTCCCCAGCACTGTTCCCATCCCCCAATTCCCCAATAAAAAAAATCTTTAAAAAAAATAAATAAATAAATAAAAATAAAGAAGGCCCAGGTTCCTGGGCCTTCCCCTAGAACCCTCTCCCTGCCACACATACCACTACCCCTGCCACACAAACACATGTTAAAGGGGTCCCTCTGCCGGAGAAGCAAGTTGCTAACTGCCATCCCTTCTCTATACCCAGCACTTTCCTCTGAGGTGCTTGCTTAGATGTCCCAGAGGGCCCTCTTACTTCCCCAGCCCCCACTTTTATATATATATATATATATATATATATATATATATATATATATATTTTATTATGAAATACACATTTTTTAGAATTAGTTTCAGCTGTACCCCCAGCCCCCACTCTTAATGGCACAAACTTATTTCTCAGCCTCTCCAAGTGTGATCTTTTTGGTGGGATCTGGTACTCTCACATCCCTCTAGGTCAGTCCAAAGAGCCCTGTTGTCCCAAGGTAAAGTGTTAAATTTGGATCTCCAAGGAGGCAGCAGGGGATGGGGTACCCTTTGTGCCACCTGCAGACTTACCTCCATCTGAAGTCATCCTCTCAGGTCTGGGTACTAGCCGTGGCTATCTGGAAGCCTCCAGGATGAGACAGTCAGGTTGAGGACCCACAGAGTGACCTGGCTCCAGTAGATACACAGGGATTCTAGGAGGGGAGGACAAAGATCAGATCAAAACAGAACTGGAATCTAGAACTCAAGGAATCTGCAGTGGGGGAGGGGGAGGGGAATGTGGGGTTGGGGTCTGGAGCTATTTGACAGCAGGCTCAGGTAAATTGGCAGTAATCAGGAGTTCCCTCCAAATCAGAGTTTGGCAACACACCTGTTGTCTGCCTCTTCAGGGCAATTTGTAAATTCTCAGATTCCCAACATTATAGTTTTACATCTCCATTTCCTACACAATTCTTCACCAGTGTATTTAGTTTTGTACCCTTAAATCGCACCCAGTTCTGTAACTGACTTCCTATTAATAGCAGGTTGTGGTAGTCCCTTGATTTAATCCAATGTTTGTTATATTTTCTGAACCAAATTCAGAACACACAGTCTGTGGACTTGGATCTGGGGAACGGAATGCTTGAAATTAGGATTGTCTGGGAAGATCCAGGGTGTTTGGTTGCTGTATGCAGATCATTTCCTTGGAAAACTGACCTGCAGTTCCCAAATAGTCCACTATTGGCTCTGCAGTCCACAGAAGGCTCAATCTTAAACCTTGGCTGAAAAGCTCCACTCTATTAAAGACTGGCATTCAGCCTAAAATTTCAAGACCAAAAAGTCCTTTTGTTTGTTAAATTATTTTTGTTTAAAAATTTTGTTAAATAATTTTAATTTTTAAAATGGGTACTACATTAGCATGATTCTAAAGTAAAAGTATACAAAAGAGTATACAGCGAGCCTCCCTCCCACTCTTTTCCTCTGGAACCGAGCTCTTTGGCCCCAAAGAAACCAATATTATGTTTCTTGTGAATTCTTGCAGAGATATTTTATACACTACAAGTAAATGCATTTTATCATTACGTTTATATTTAAAAAAGAAGTTTTCAGGTTTCCTGCTTATAAAATTAATGTATATTCCAATGTTTTTGACATTATAAATAATACTGCGAAGATCATCCTTGTAATGTTACTTGGGCTCCAATTTTCATCACTTTAAACTAGAGTCCTATAAGGAGAATTTCTACGGTCTTTAAAACATTCGAAATAACGCCCAGAAGGTATATCTTATGCTATTATTAGCTACTCACCGCTATAAGCGCTGTATTTGTGGTGAAGAGACCTGAGTTTGAATCTTGGTCCGATCACTAAAACATCACCGGTTTCATGAAATAACTTCACGCTCTCTTTGCTGTGCAGAATATTTAATACCCATCATGCACTCTTTACCGCCTATATTTTGAAATAGGGCGGGAGAACCAGATAGAAAAAGAGGGGAGGGAAGAAAAACCTTCCTTCTTTCCCTGAGGTAAAGGGGCTCTGAATCCTGGAGCTCTTTGTTGCTCCACGCACTGGATATCCACTGCCCCAGATATAGGTGTGCATCTTGCGAAAAAGACAGGATTCTATTTACTAATGTTCAACTTATAGCCATCCCTATCCCCCTCTAAAGCCGAGCAGTGTCTGGGTCACAGAGGACACACTCCATTTGTCTTAGAAAGCCTGCAAAGTTGCAACTGGGCACCAAAGTCTACAAAGTTGCAACTGGGTTGCACCTGGGCCAAGTCCTGCACTAGCGCGCCCCCTTCTGCCCAGCTGGAGAAATACCTAAAATGAACTACATTTCCCGGCATACCCTGAGAGAGCGACACTTCCGGTTATACAGGAAGGAAGTTGACAAACACGTGAGGCTGTGAGACAGAGCTGCGGACGGAGTTCGAACTTCTCACTTCAGCGTAGTCATGTTTCTCCAGTATTACCTCAACGAACAGGGAGAGCGGGTCTATACCCTGAAGGTGAGAAAAGGAAGCATGTAAATGGGCATGGCGAAAAATGTAGGTGGGAGGAGCGGTTGAGACTAGCCGCGGCGTTGCCTAGCTGAGTGAGGGGAAATAGAAAGCTGAACAGCCAGGCGTGGTAGTAGCAGGAGTGTATGATTGCATGTTTTCACCGTCGCGTCTCCTGTCTTCCTTCATATCCTTTTTCGCGCGTTCCCCTCCGCATCCCAGCCTCCATCTTCCTTATGACGCCAGTGCTTGAGTTTTCCCCACCACTCGCGTATTGAGATTATGTTCTCTCTTCCTGGAGCAGAAGTTTGACCCCACGGGACAACAGACCTGCTCGGCCCATCCTGCTCGGTTCTCCCCAGACGACAAGTACTCCAGACACCGAATCACCATCAAGAAACGTTTCAAGGTGCTGATGACCCAGCAACCGCGCCCTGTCCTGTGAGGGTCCCTTAATGTCATGCCGCTTGGTATCCCTCTGAGACTTTCCGAACCCAAGCTCTTCAATCTGTCAGCCTTGAAGCCTTGTTACCATCTTTACTCTTTGGCATCTGGTGTCGTCATTACCTTTGATCATGCTCTTGTGGGAGGCTATCATGGTAGCATACCCCTTAAAGGGAACAAGTTCGAATCTTCCTTTCGTGTTTTGACCTACTGGCTATTAAAATGATTTGAAAGAGCTCTTATTTTGTATGTTGTGGGAAGAATGAAGTTACTTAAAAAAATAAAACGCGAAGGGACACGAGAGGGAAGAGTATCCCAGGGGAACAACAATACTTGGAAGAAAATCTTAAGTCGCTGCTGTAGCAGGAATAGCGCTGTATTAGTGCTAGGAGGGTGTTGGGGAAGGGAAAGACTGGTTAAGAAAGATTTACATAATTGTCGGCATTTACAGAAAAATACCCTTGTTGTCACGCAAGTAATTTCTTGCCCATTGAAGTGATATTCTGACTTAAAATTGAAGAGTTGCTTGAACATAATAGCAACCTTATTGTAGAGAGAAGGCAGTGAATTGGAAAGCAGGAGACCAGGATTTGTTCCTCTCTGTATAACTTTAAGAAAGTCACTTAACCTATTTAGTCCCAATTTTTCCCGTCATTTCTAAGTTCTCTTCTAACGCTATATAACTGATTGGGTTCAGTGGTGGATCTTAATGTATCTACAGTGTTGTCCCACCATGGTGAATATTTACTGCCCCTCTGGAAATATTCCCAGACTTTTAATTCTCTCCATCAAGGAATTGTCTTATGTACACGTAACTTTAGATTCTCTCGGGCAGCTAACTGCTATGTGGAACTGTACGTGGATCTTAATTTAAAAGATGAGGTGTGAGATGAAGCAGAGATTTTGTTTTTCAAGCTACTGTTGGGGGTTAATAACAAAAGAAACCTGAGAGATGTCTTAGGATTTGAGCTGTCAAAGGGCAACCGTAAATTTTTAATTCAATTACTTTATATTAGAGGGATAATGAGGCAAATGGCTAGCTGGTTTTACCTCACCTTGAAAGTTAATCCGTTCATTTCCCAATCTTCTCATTCATAAGCTTTTGACATTGGATTTGAATGTTTGCTTAATACCACAGATTTAAAAATTGCTTTGTGGAGATTGTGTTCTAATTTTACAGTCTTTTTCTACTTCATCAAGATTCTAGACTCCAGAAGCAGATATAACTTAAATCAGCACAAATTTGATATATCGAGACTGGCCCTGAAAAGGATAGCTGTGTTTCTCTTGGAATCTGATGTCTGACCATCCCAGCAGAGAAGATCAGGATAGTTGTTGACTGCTGAGGGGGAAAAAAAAATCTAAAGGTGGGTCACAGTTAATAGAAGACATGATTTTCAAGTCAACTATTTACTTAAACATATGGGAATGGTGAAACGAAATACTTGTTTTCTGTCAAGCAATTTCTTATTTCTTAGACTATTCACTTACAGGTTCTTAGCATTGGGACTTTAAAGACACCCTGTCCTATTAAGGGGATAAGACTGAAGAAATGCTAAAAATTCTGCAAATGGCTAGAAAAAGGATCTGCCAAGCAGTTTAGATCTTGTTTCCTGGCATTTTTGTCAGTTTTGACTCAAATAAACATAAAAATTCAGAAGGGAAAATGAAGGATCTGCTATGGAAGTTTCTTAAGCACCAAAGTCAATTCATGAAATCTGCTATCAATGTTTTTTAGTATTGACAGTAATTCTATCCTTATAATTTACCCCCTCTCCCCCCCCAAAAAAATTAGCCTTGTTCTATGCTTCATCCTGTGTAGACTGAAATTAGAAGACTTTAACACGGAAATATTCCTAATTGAATTAGAGGAGAAAGGCAAAGTGGTTTGAATATACTAAGGACTTTTTCCTTAAGGGATCCCCTAGGTATTAACATTTGAGATGTGTTCCGAAATGAGAGAAAAGCCTTAAGAAGGTATAGTATATTGGTATTAGGTAGTATATATAAGTTAACGAAAATACTGTGTGGTATGAAGCAAAATTGGTTGTAGAAAGCCAGCATTTCTTTGTAAGGGGAAAGTCTGAGAATTGAATGCCTGCCTGAGAAAAAAACATCCCTTAGGGAGGTGAATTTCTTGCTTCCTTAAGTTAGAAAACTGTGAGGCTTATTGGGTGAGGGTCTGAGTTCTATAAGCTGGAAATTTATCTCCTCCTGAAATTGGTATCTCCATGCAATTGCTGTAAACTTACACTGTAATAAAAACAACAAAAACTGTGAACCTGAATCAGTAGGCACGGGCTTTATAAAGCATCTAGCTTTGAGGTGGTTTACATTTTAAGTGGGAATTATTTCTCATTTTGTTACCTGGATCTTTTTTTTTTTTTTTTTTTTAAGATTTTTATTGGGGAATTGGGGGAAGGGGAACAGACAAGTTGCTGTTGTTTTGTTCTTCAGTCTAGTTGTGGAGGACATTGATTCACTGGCCCAAGTTGGCAGCATCATTGCGCTCTTCCCAGGCAAGGCACATCAGTCACACTGCCGCTCACGCTGGCTGCTGGCTACACATGGTAGCCCATGGCAACCCACTGCAGCAGGGGCTGCAGCCTACGTCGTCACCGGCAACTCACGGCAGCCCAGCTCCAGGTCGAGCTGCTGTTCACCATCTTAGCTGTGGAGGGCAGTGTCACTGGCCATCATATGTGGGATCCGAACCGGGGCCCTCTGGCGTCCCAAGCCAGTTCTTAACCATCACGCCACTTGGCCGGCCCTACCTGGATCTTTTTAACCAGACTTTGTACTTTGTGTGTCATTTGATAAAAGCGAATTTCCTGGCTCAGGTCTTAAACACAGTTCTGATTCTATTACTAATGATGCTTAAAACGTTTCCACTGTTTAGAGAAAAGACACAGGTAAAGCCAGGGCCCAGATTGTTAAATTTAAATGTCTTGATCAAAGCTATAGGAAATAACTTTCAAACAAAACACCGATGAGCCAAAGTTTATTGAACACCTCTAGCATTAAATGAACATGCTAAGAAAAATACTCTGGTGGCAGTAGTAGGGAAAACGCTGGGAATGGAGTCAAGAGAAAGTATCTTCTCTAGGTCTAAAATTAAAAGCGTTTTCATTAATGGAATTTTCAGTCTAACGAAAAAGTGAACATAGGATTACCCCCCCCAGCTTTAGTATATATCCCCCAGATATAGTACAAAATGGTACACATTTAAGGTGTACAATGTGATTTAATAGATGTATACATTGTGAAAGACAGAATTTTTTTTTTTAAGGACAGGGAAATGGGGCAAAATGTAGCATAAAGTGCATAAATTTGAGGGTACAGTGCTTTAGAAGAGACCTCTACATAAAAATTCTAATAAGGGTCATACCTGGATATATGGTATTGGGAGGTTAGTGATTTTTAAAGAAATTATGAATGGTATTTTCAGAGACGCTCTTATTAAAAAAGAGGGTTTTTGAGGTTCTGAGGGCAAGTTTCATCGCCTGCTCCCTGAGATGCCTCCAGAGTTGGTGCGAGACGGCTGAACCAAGAAGGAAAAGGATTTATTTGTTTTCTCTAGCGGACGGGGCTCTGTCACCCATACCGAACTACAATTCCCGTCGTGCTCCGGTCCAACCACGTTAGGCCCCGCCAGTCCCGCTGCTACTCGGACGAGCGCATGCGCGCATCCCCCGCCGTCCGCTAGCGGGTGGCAGAGGCTGGGCGGGGCTCCCGGCGCTCGCGGGACTGTGCCGCCTTCCGATCGCTACCCCGCTTCTCTTCGGACCGTTAACCTCGAATGAGGAACAAGCCGGGAGGGGAGGGAAGGGCTGCGGCGGCGCGGGCAAAGCCCGCCGGGCCCAGGGCCGGGAGCGGCCAGGTCACGTAACGGCTGCTCTGGCGTCTGGCCGGGGAGGGGGTGCCCTCCCCGGCAGCTAGAGCCTTCCTGCGCTTGCTGCGGCTCCGAAACAGTTACCGGCTCGTAAACAACAGCTGCGCGCGCACCCCGCATCAGCTGGCGCGGGGATCCCGCACCTGCGAACTCCTTCTCAGCCGCGCCGCCCCCTCCTAATCAGCCAGGGCCAGCCTGCGAGGCCGTCTCTTCTGCTAGGACCCAAAGGAAGAACCTCGAGGGGCTGACCAGCACCAGCGGCCTGGTAGGGGAGAAAGCGTCTCTGGTCAAAGGGTTGGCTGGTCCTGTCACACGCAGGAGAAACCCAGCGAGCGGATCGTGGGTTCGATGGAATAGCAACGACCTGCCACGACCCTGAGCTGCAGTCCGAGGTGTCTCGATCCGCTAGCCGCCTCCTCCCAGATCCCAGGGACCTTTCTGCCAGAAGAGCAGGCAGGCGGGTCACCCCCATAGACCTCTCCGCTCTGCCCCTGCATCCTCCTCTGCTCACCCTTCTCTCATTCTCCTCCGTACAGCAGTGTGTGATATTTTTCCCGTTATGCATGCGCACTTCTCCCACCAGATCCAAGTGGATTATCTGCCTCAGAAACCTCGGGTGGCTGTACACACACCTCCTCCCAGCCAGACCTGTGGGGTATTCACCTGATATACAACAGGTGGCCGGGTGTACACCGTTTCGCAATCTGATCTGTGCTGTATTTGCATGATAAGGGTGGGCCTGCGCGCAGTTTGCTCAACTAGAACCGTGGGACATTTACTAGATAAAGGACTCACTACCTCGACCGAAACCTGGGAGTCGAGAGGAGAAAGGCTTCACCTTCTCTTAAGACCATGGCACTGAGCCCGCAGCCCTCCCTGTACCAGGAGAGAGAGCTAGAAAGCTCTTCATTCTGAAGGAAAGAAGTTAACAGGAGATAAGCATCGTTTTGTCTTTTTTTTTTTTCTTAAATATTTTTCAGCTACTTGGTAGTGCACTCTCTAGGACACTGCTTGAATTCTGAATATAAGAATTCTTATTTGGGGCTTTTTGTGGTGAAAATCAAGATAATTGAGGGTGTGTTTTTTTTTTAATCTTTTCTGTTTTTGCTATCAAAAGCAGCCTAGTGTAGGAGGAAAGATTTTGCGGGGTTTTCCTTTTTTCTTTGCCCTTATAAAGGAAAAGAAAAAGAAAAATGCATCCTCCAGAAACCACCACCAAGATGGCTTCAGTTCGGTTCATGGTGACACCAACAAAGATCGATGATATTCCGGGTTTGTCAGATACCAGCCCGGACCTCAGCTCTCGATCCAGTTCCCGGGTAAGATTTAGCTCCCGGGAAAGTGTGCCTGAAACAAGCCGTAGTGAGCCCATGAGTGAGATGTCTGGAGCCACCACATCACTGGCCACTGTTGCACTGGATCCAGCCAGTGACAGGACTTCTAATCCCCAGGATGTTACTGAGGGTAAGTAGAAACACAGATGACAGGATACTTTCATTGCTGGCTTATTTATGGAGCATGACTGTCTCCTGGGAGATCATTTTTCCATTATACAATAATCATCAGGAACCAGTATACCTCTCTTTGAGATCCTTAGGAACCCTTTGGAATAATGGTTGGTATAGTGGCTCTCTGCAGTAGTCATTTGGCATGTGGCAAAGTATATGGCAAGAAGGAAAGTAGATGTATATTTTGACTTCCTCATTTTTGTCTCCTTAGAACCGAAATGAGTATTTTGGTTAAGGATGAATGGCAAAGAATTTAATAGTTTTTTTGGCACAATCCTAAATTGTAAAATTTAGTGGAGAGCTAGCTGGCTTTGGGGCTCTAACTATTACGGTCAGCTTTTAAGGCCACTTACAAGGAGTAGTTATTGATCATATCTTAGTTGTTGGCTTTTCTACGGACTTCAGATATTGGATCACAAAATTCTTTTTAAAAATTTGTATTTTACAAAGACAGTGGTTCAAGTAGCTAAGTTCACTCTGGGTGGGACTGGGTAGATCTAGTGTGCTATCCAGCCAAATGGAGAAATTCTAAAGAGGCTTTTAGGGCCTGATTCCTACACGATATTTTCACTTTGAACTTTAAATGGTATGTATTGAGCCTTTGTAGTCACGAAGCAGCACACAAGCCACTTCTGACTTAGATTGACCACAGCAGACTTTTAGCTTCCTGAACCAGTTTGTGTCAGCTGGCTTGGAAGTTTTCACTGGATTTACTAGAAAAAGGAGATGGAAGAGAGAGATGAATAAATTGGCACTATCATAACATTTTTTGGACTCTAAAGTAGAAAAGTTTGAGAAATGCTGTACTGCTTTATATGTTCAGTTTTGTAGTGTTTATGTTTGGTTCTGTATTCTGTAGATATGTCTGGTAATGAAAATTCTCATGAGAATCTTAAAGACTCTTAAAATGATATTCTACCCAAATTTGAAAACCATAGCTTCAGCCACTGACTTGTGAAAGCAATTTTCCGGTGTCAGGAAATAATGTTCCTTCTAACTAACCTAAGGGTGCAGGAAACCAGAATGATTTTAGTTCCTTGTTTCTGTTTATGTTTTTTAATGTCTAGAGACAAAGTAGATTTGGTAAGTTTATAGTCCTGTAGAATTCACTTATCCTCGACTAAACATTTTTTTAATGGAGGTATTATAGATTGGTTCCTGAGCTTAACTCTTTTCAGTTTGACAAGCTTTACAGTGTGTATACCACAGTGTTAAATTTACGTTATGGAATAAAAATAATTTATCACTTTTTTCCTCCAAATTAATTGTAAATTGTAGTTTTAGATTTTATTTATTATACTGTATTTAGGTTGTAAAAATACCAGGTAAAGACTGTAAGTGTTCGTTCTTTTATTGCTATAATTGTCATTAGGTAATCTGTAGTTAAGTATTGTTAGGTTTGTGACTTATATGTTACGGAATTGTGTTTGTATTCTGTTTTTAAAAGTAGACTTATTTCCGTAATGTATTAGCCTTGCAGAACAGGATCCTTGTCCAGGCCGCTTTCTTACCTGTAAGAATTCTTTACAATCCAGAGTGCTATTGTTTAATACTATAGGGGTAAAATAAAACTGGGGACATATCTAGGTAAAATATTGTCATCTAGGCGGGTACAGAAGTTAAAGCTTGGCTCTCTAACACATTCCTTAATGTTTAAATACTCTCTGGTACTAGATGAAAGGGAAATTAACTGTCCAGCCATTACATCACATTTCCCCCCTTACTCTCAGGAAACTAGTTTCCTACTTTCCTAATGAACTGCTTTTTCTTTATGTCTTTAAAAAAAAAATTCTTATGATGAGTCTTATCCTGTGACATATTTTCCCCACCATTAGAGGGAACTGATTAGAAATATAATTATTTCACCTTTGGCCTCATAATATGCGGATGCCCTTGTTACACATAGATCTTCAAAGGATGCTGTTGTCAAGGAAATCAAGGACATATTAATCTACATTTGTCTCTGGACTGGAGTTAGTAGAAGAGAACAGCTACGTCCTTTTCTACAAGTGACTCTATCCTTAAGCTTATAGTGTATTTTGGCATTGTGTTTGCTATTTTAATATTTAGATTTCTGTGATTTTTTTTTTGCCCTTTCCATATCCTTCTTTGATTGTGATATTGGTATGATTCTCAATCCTTTCCCCACACCTCCCATGCCTCCCACATTTCTTCCTGTAAAGAAGCTTACCACCTTAAGTTTCTTTCCTTGTTATATACCTTTTACTTGCATTACATTGTACAACCAACGGGGGTGGGGGGTGGGGTGGGGGGTGACACATGAAGTTAAATACTTATTTCTATGTTGTATTTTTTTCTCCTGTTGGCATTTTGAGTAGATAATTATCTTTCTGCTATCAAAGTATTTATAGTTCTCCTTTCACTGTGTCAGAGTTCCATTAGAATTTATGAGTCTGTCCAGTTGGTAAATAAAATCGAGAATCTTAGCACTGTACTTGCTTATGCATGAAGAATGTCTTAAAGATACAGAAGGAACTGTTTAGAGTGGATATCGCTGGAGAGTTTTGAAAATAGGGTAGAGAGTGTGAATTTTCCTTTATCTAAACAATTCAGAAGGGCATATACAATTTTTTTTATATTGAGAGTGTATCACTTATATAATAAAAAAAATTTTAAGAGGCATAGCATGTTTGGGAACCTCAGATGATCAAGAATCAAATTCTGGTCAAAATCCATTTTTATAAATGAGGAAACTAAGGCTTACTGAGATGATTATTTGTAGATCACAGAGTGGCAAAACCAAAACTGAAGCATAGGCTTCCTGACTTCTATCCTGTGATTTTCATTTATATCATTTTGCCTCTGCTATGATAAACAGTTTTTACATTTGCAAACAACCATTTGCTTATCTTAAATGATTGTTAAAATAATAATACCAGAAAAGAGCAGGGAACATATTCCTCAATGTCTTATAGAGGCTCTGATACATTTCAACCCTTTATAATTCAGTAAATACTCCCTGAGGCTCTTAGATGTGTGAGGCCCTCTCTTAGGAATTATAGGAAATATGCAGGTAAGATATAGTCCCCGCCTTTGGAGAGCTCATGGCATAGTGGTGGAAATGACGAGAACACTATCCATTCCTTCACCAAACATTTACTGAGCATTCATGAGTCAGGTCCTATTCTGGGTGTTAAGGATGTAGGACTGATGAAAACAGCCCACTAACTGTTCTAAGGAAAGTTATGATCTAATAGAGAAAGGAAACAAATTTTCATGTAAATGATAATGCTGTATGATAAATGCAACAATAAAAATATACAACAAAATAAAAAAAAAAGAAAAATACAGTGAGGGAAAATGATGAACTGAGGTAAAATGGAGATGCTAAAAGACTAGCGGACTTGATGAGGCCAAGTAGTTGTGAAGTTGTAGAAGGATTCAAGACTGGTCAGATAGTTGAATGTTGGAGTTAATGGTTTCTGGGGGGAGGAGGGGAGGAAGTTCAGTGTTAACATGATAATAGTGTACAGCCTTGGGAGTGGGTTTCTGAAGTGGAGTAGAAGTAAAAGCCAGTTGAGTCAAGGAGCTCTGATACCAACTTTGAGGCTGGCTATTACCAAGTTTTTATAGAAGGGTGCTAGGTGGTAAAAATGAAAAAATAATTTGGGTAAGTCTCTTTAAGGAGTCACCTTCTCTGAAACCTTTTCTGATTCAGCCTCATACCTAGATAGAATAAATTGGTTCGTTATGTCCCTATATCCCATATACAGACTATTACTATAGCAGCACCTATTTCACTTAATTTTGTTGTTTAGTTTACATATTATCTTTCCCAATTAGGCTGTAAGGTTCTTGAGGACAGGGAAACAAAGTTGTCTTTGTATCTTCAGCACCTGGAATAATGATGTCACATATCTTGTACTCAGTAAATGTTGAACTGAAAGTGTTCTAGAACAGGGGTTGTCAAACTGTGGCTCACGAGCTACATAGTGGCTCTTTGGGTACATACATGTGGCCCTGAAGCCGCTCTTTGGGTACATACATGTGGCCCTGAAGCCGCTCTTTGGGCATGTACATGTGGCTCTGAAGTAAAATTGAAAATGAAAATAAAACTATCATAGTTTCATTTATAAAAATTTTTTTTTTAAGATTTTATTGGAGATTGGGGGAGGGGAACAAACAAGTTGCTGTTCTTTTGTGCTTCAGTCTAGTTGTGGAGGACTTTGCTTCACTGGCCCATGTTGGTATTATCACTGCGCTTTTCCCGGCTGAGGCAGATCAGTCGCTGGCCACTGGACAGCCGCTCACCGTGGCTCTTGGCAGCTCACAGCGGCTGCCAGCCGCTCACGCTGGCTGCCAGCCACTCACAATACCTTATGGCAGCCCACTGCAACCCCACTGCAGCCTACGCCGTGGCTGGTGACTCACGGCAGCCCAGCTCCAGGTCAAGCTGTTGTTCACCATCTTAG